CAGAATGGGTCAGCAAAGAAAAATGAGTAGATCAGTCAGAGAAGTAGGAGGAAAACAAAAAAAAAAGTGTGCCAGGGAGAGAGGGAGAATGTTTCAGGGAGGTGATGGTCGACGATGTTGGACAAGCCGAGATGGTGCGGATGAAAGGCCTATGGAGCTAGCTACACTGAGTCAGGAAGGCTAGACCGACACCTGTTTTGATGGAATAAGTAATGGTGGCAGAAGCCCAATGGGAGAGGGTCAAGGGACAATCCCTTTCAGAAAGTTTAGCTGTGAAAGGCAGGAGACAGGACTGTAGGGGATGAGGTTAGAGCAATAAAAGATGACTTTTTGTTGTTTTTTAAGATGGGGGAGAGACTTGTGTACTATGTTTAAATGCTAATGGAAAAGATCCAGCACAGAGTGAAGTTAGAGGTCTGGAAGAGAGGCTGGGTGTATAATAAAAGTATTATGAGACTATGAGAGGAGATAGGATTCAGAAGCAATCAAGCCCTGGGCACACGGGAGGCGTTTGAATATGTGCAGCTCTCTTTAACATTTATTTTTAATGTTTAAAAATTGGGAACTACAACAGATATGTAAAAAAGAGTGCTTAAAACAAATGCATAGTATACGGAACACCCATATGATCAGACAAAACTATAACATTGCCAGCACCCCAGAAGCCCTCTCTCACTCTCCTTTCTTATCACGACACTATCCCTAGTAATAACCACTGCCCCAGATTTATGGGTAATTATTCATGTTCTTCCATCTGGTATTTTCCCCCCACTTCATTCTAGTTTTGCTACCTAAATATACATCCCTAAACAATGCTGTTAAATTTTGCTTATTTTTGAACTTTGTATAAACACAGCTATACTGCATGGATTCTTCTATTTCACACTTCTTTCACTCAAAAATATATATTTGGGATTCATCCATGTTGTTGTATGTAGCTATATACTTTGTTTTCAACCCTGTAGAGTATTCCATTGTATGACTGTATCACAATTCACTTATCCTTTGTGCCATGAGTGGACATTTAGGTTGTTTCTTGTTTGGGGTTACTACAAGAATGCCCCAGGGGCTGGCCGAGTGGCTCAGTTGGTTAAGAGCTCGCTCAAGAGTTTGAGCTCTGAGTAACAGCGGTTTGATTCCCAGCCCAAGCTGAGCTGCCACTGAGCTGCCAACAGGTGGCAGGATGACTCAGCTAAAAAAAAAAAATGCCCCAGAGAACATTCTTGTACATGTGTCCTGGGGCACAGGTACATGAGTTTCTCTTGGCTGTATTCCTTTTCCCAAATTTGGTAGAACACTCTGGAAGGGTATTCAGTATGGAGTATGCATATCTTCAACTTCACTAGCTAATACCAAACTTTTTCAGATTGTACCAATTTACACTCCTATAAGAAGAGGTGCTAGACTTCCTTAGGGATGAGATAAATTGTATCAATATTATTGATACATCTTTACTTGTTTAACAAAGAATTAGCTTCCTGAGCCAGGTGCTTCTTTAGGGTAAGTTTTAACCCACTGGCTCTTCTAGCTTAAGGCAGACTCACAGTTTCTATCTCAGGATGATTTGTTACCATTAAGTACATTGTTGTTTCTTTTATGTGCTACAAGTTAGTTTCTTCCTTGGTAATACTTGGGACAACAAACTCTCTTGTATCATTAGTGATACAAATAACCATTACATCTCAGGGTAGGCCACCTGGCAGATAGCTGATCTTCTGGGTTCAGTGTAGTACTGTGTTTGGGCGGTTGAGTAGAAGGTTAAGAGCATGAATTCTGGAGCTGGACTGCCTGGGTTTGAATTCTGACTCTACTTTTTAGCTGCATGATCCTGAACAAATTATTTCTGGTCCTCTCTGGTCTTCAGCCTGCTCATCTATAAAATGAGAGCAATTATAGTGTAACTACCTCATAAGGGGGACTGTGACGGTTAAATACATGGAAAGTACTTAGAGCAGTGCCTGGTATTCTATTGCTTTGATATATATCCATTTCAGTTTTGGGGCAGTAGAGGTCAGTGGTTATGAGCATGGGCTAAAGTCAGAAGGAGTTCAGGTCCTGGCTCTACTCTCTTCTGACTCTGTGACTATGGGCAAGTCAGATAACTTCCCTACACCTCAGTTCCTCTACTGTATAAACTGGACTAATAATGGCTACCTTGTTCAGGTGCCATAGGATCAGCTGAGATGGCTAATGCAAAATGCCAAGGTACAGCAGGTGGTAGCTGCTGTCATTTCAGCAGGTGGCAGCTAGTATTGCTGCCCTTAGATGCTGGGTGAATAGCTCCTGGGCCCTAAACCCATAAGTCCTATATGCACTGACCTATGGGTGGTTGAGGACAGTGAAAATGTGTGAAAGATACGGAGGAGCGATGACGAGTTACTCCCATGTATGTGTAGGTGCCGGGACAGTGTGTGCTTAGCTGAATGAGACCCAGTACACTTTCTATGGTCTCAGATATGGGGGCATCCCAGTACACTGGTAACTAACAGAATATAAGTAGTGCGGAGGAAGGAGTTTTGAGGGTTCTAGGGAGGAAATACCTGGGTGAGTAGTCTGCCTGGAACAAAAGGTTTTTAAGATGAGTCTCAGAAAACGTGCACATAGATGGGAGAAAATACTGGTCAGGAAAGTCACAGTGCATCTTTAAGAGCTTTGAATCCCAGGCTAAGGTATTTTTCCATTATTCAGTAAGGAATGGGAGAACTTGTATTACCAGGTGGCTGTGAGATGGGAGCTAGAATCTGAAAGAGGCCCAGGTGCAAGGGACCAATAAATAATGGTTTAGAAACACTACTGTTTGGCTGGCACTGCCATCAGACTCGCTCAGGTGCTTTTAAAAGATGATATTTGGAGGGAGACATGCCTACTACAGTTTTAATGCCAAATTAATTATGTATTTACACATTTCCAAAAACCAGTGCTAAGATGGCTGGAGTCATTATTGTGAACCTCGTTGTATCACCTTATTATTGCATGCAAACTAGAGAAAATGCATTAGGATCTGACCATGGTGGTGAATACCTACAGAGGTGAGAAAATTGTATAGAACTAAATACAGGCACATACAAATGAGTACAAGTAAGACAGGATATGTCAGATGGGTGGGTTGTATCAATGTCAACATACAATTGTGATTTTATATTATAGTTTTGGAAGGCATTACCATGAGGAAAATGGGGCGAACTGAACAAACGATTTCTCTGTATTATTTTTTTACAACTGCATGGAAATCAATTTTCTCAACAAAATTTCAATTTAAAAAATGCCATAGTAAAAGTTATATTTCGTAGAAAGTGAGCCCCATCCCCTTTCCCCCAGTTACATGAATGTAGGAGATTTCTGGGGTACATAAGTTCAGCATTATTTATCCTGTGGCCCCACTGGACAGAAGAACAAAGTGCCAGCCTAGCTGTTTTGATCTAAGTCAGCGGTTCTCAACCTTCCTAATGCTGCGACCCCTTAATACAGTGCCTCATGTTGTGGTGACCCCCAACCATAAAATTATTTTCATTGCTACTCTATAACTGTAATTTTGCTACTGTTATGAATCGTAATGTAAATATGTTTTTGTTTTCCGATGGTCTTAGGCGACCCCTGGGAAAGGGTCGGTCGATCCCCAAAGGGGTCGTGACCCACAGGTTGAGAACCCCTAAGTGAAACGCAGATTACAACTACCCCAAACTTTTGACAGTTCTGCCACAGTGGGTCAACTTTACCCATCTGTTTTCTGATTTACCCACTGACTACTATGTTACTTTTGGGTCACTACCTCCAAAGGTAGCATTAAAATAATTCTCTTATTATTGAAGTGAAGTTTATCGAGAGAGAGAGAGAGAGAGAGAGAGAGAGAGAGAGAGATATGAAGTGAAGTTGTTGGATGCAGCATTTTTAAAATTAGGGTTTTTTTACCTGACCCATTACTTTAGAAAAGTACAACCCTCAGCGATGAGTGAACTTAATTTCTCGAGTGACTTGGAGAAGACGGTGCTAACAGGGCAGGGTTATTACAAACTCTGTAATTATCCTTTCTCTGCTATGCTAAAGGTTTCCCTTCCCAACAGTAAGACTGACTTCGACTTGAAAGAGAGCCCTGAACTTGGTGTATAAAGTGAAAGAAAAGAGAAGAAATGGCTGGCTGGGAATCCGGCCCCGGGAAGGCGTCCACCGCGCTGGAGAACTACCACGCGAATTTCCAGAAAAGAAACTTCTCTTTCCCAGACTTGCAGATTTCCGCGAGTCCAGAAACGCTCTAAGAGGCCGACTGAGCTTTCGCGTCCTGTAGGTGGGAAACTGAGGCAGCTCCAGCCTCGGCGCCCGCCCTAAGGAGGGAACTCAAGTTTCCAGAGATCTCCGCGCGGGCGCAGACACCTCCAAGCCGCCCTCCTACTGCCCGCCCCGCCCAGCTCCGGACAAAGCCGGGAGCCGGCGCCGGGAGGGGGCAGGGCGGCTCCCGCGCGCGCCCCGCTCCTCCGTGGGCGCGAGACTCCGCCCTGCCGCCCCTCGGGGGGAGCCCGCGCCCCAACAGCGAGGAGGCCCAGGCGGGCCCGCCCCAATCCCCATGACGTCACCGGCGGCAGCAGGCCCCGCCCCCGGCCCCAGGCCGCATGACGTCACCGAGGCCCCACCCCTCCGGAGCGAGTTCGGTCCTGGCGTTCATTTCATTCCTGTCCTCATTCCGAACATTCTTAGCATCGCTCGCGCCGCGCCGCGCCGCCCGAGCCGAGCCGAGCCTCTGCAGCCGCCGCCGCGGCCCCGCCGCCCGCCGCGGGCGCCCACCAAGCACTTTGCAGACTCGCTTCCACCCTGCGGGCCAGTCCGCGCGGCGGGGCCCGGTCCCGGGGCGGCCGCGTCCGGGGACAGGCCATGCAGTGAAGCCCCCCCACCCCGTCCACCTTTGCCCGGAGCCGCGGGCAGCAGCCCAGTGCGCCCAACCGGCCCCGGGGCAGGAGCGGTGCTAAGCAGGGGTGGGGTGGCCCAGCCCGGGGACCGAGCGCTGGGGAGGGAGCCGGGCTCCGAGCTGAGGGCGGGGGAAGCGGCGCCGAAGTTTGCCTCGGACTCACCGGGCGCTGCGGCTGCTCCCTTCGCGAGGTAAGTTGGCGCGCGGGGCTGATGCTGGGTGCGAGGGGCGCACGGGGCGCCGGGTCCAGCGGTGCGACCCGCTCGGGCCGCTCCTTCTCTCCGGGCTCTGCTTTGTGTGCGGCAGGCGGACGGGCGGGCACGCGGAGGGCCGGGGCTGGGCCCCCGCGCCCGCCTCCCCGCGTCCCCTTCAAGGTGAGAGGCCGGGCGCCGCCGCGCGAGTTGCCGGGACGCCAAGTTGGGCCGCGCGCTGCGGAGCCCGCGCGGCAACAG